CCCAGCTCACGAGTATAATCAAGTCGCTTGTTGGGCAACGAGGTGATCAGGTGGAGTCCTCTGTTCCAGTAGCTGCTGCACCCGGAAGCGGCGGAACAGAGTACGCTGGTGCGCATCAATCGGATGTCACTGGCAGGACTGCGGGAGGTACGGGCAGCAGTGCTCACGTCCTTGGCATGTCCAGCATGTGGGTTGGGAGTAGTAGTCTTCTTGCAGACTCAGGCTTGAACCTTCGTGCAATTGTTGCGTGTCGTTCCTCTTAAGAGTCTGCTGGTGGTACTGACTGCCAGCGGCGGAACCGACGCCGGTTCGCATCCTGTAGATGCTACTGGCAGGACTGCGGGAGGTACGGGCAGCAGTGCCCAAGACCTTGGCATGTCCAGCGTGAGAGTTGGGAGTAGTAGTCTTGCAGACTCACAGGCTTGAACCCTCATGCATCTGCTGTAAATCGTCCCTCTGCTGGTGCTGCAAGCTTTGGTTCGATTGGAACTGTTAGTAGGGCTTTAGGTAGCCAGTCTTTCGGTTCGGGAATGGTTGGTGGGACTTTAGGTAGTCAGTCCTCCATTCCGGGAATGGTTAGTGGGGCTTTGGGTAGCCAGTCTTCCATTCCACCCCCATCTACTCCATCGAGTGAGTGGTGGGGACGTGTCGCCAGTGGAAACACATATGTTCCTGGGGCCGGCATTTTTGACACAGGAGAAAACTTGGGTAGGAGTCCTTTCAAAGTTCCCAAAGCTTCTGTTTTTGACGGGACGGACGTGTCGTATCCGCCGTGGTCACAATAATTTGTTTTTGCCCGCCATAACAACCTGTTGGGAGTGTTTATTTCTGAGACACAATGTTCACATTGCATGCATTGAATTCGATTTGACACCCTGGGTAGAAGGATGATACAGTGTGGGTGTGCTGCGCCAGGCAGAAATAGGATGGTGGTTTTTGTTCGACTGTTTGAAGAAAGACTCTCTCAAAACCATGGTTAGGCATGCAGGTTCAGCAAAGCATTTCGAGTGTTGAAGGATTACTTTCTACTTTTGAGCCAGAGTCAAATTCATGCGTCCAAATGAGAAGTCTGAGAAGTCTGGACTTGGTGTTGCTATCTAAAATCAACTGGAACAACTCGAGTGATCTGACGTGTCCGGCAACATCTAGATGCTTGCTACGGGTGTTCTTGTTCAGTGATGATGCTGTCCGCAACTGCTCTTTTCTTGTGAGGAAGGATAGATGTGTGGTAGGTTGGCATGCGGACATGGGTACTGCTCACATGACAGACCGTCTCTCTTACATGAAGGATTTGAAGTCTTGCCACAAGAACGTAAAGCGAGATTGGTAGTGTGGCTTGTGAGGTAGCACTCTCTGGAACCCTAGAGTTTGTGTTTGTGACTGCTGACAGCGAGTGTTCCGTAGAGTTGGAGAACGTATTGTACTCTCCAGACTTGGGATACAACCTCTTTTCTCCAAGCGCAGAGTTTGATGGTGAGTCATGGAATTACCTTGGTGTCTGAAAGTGTGAAATTACTGCTTTCGAATAACATGTCCCTATTCAGAATTTCGATCGCGTGCTTAATTTCGACTGGGTACCGAGTAGACCGGTAAAATGCATGCTTGTACGTGATGTTCGATATCGAAGGCATTCAAGAGAGGAATTGCTCATGAAACTTAAATGCAGATCAGGCAAAAAGTTGGGCAGAGTTTTTGTTGACCTGGGAGGGCGGAAGGACGTTGCGTCCGTAGGGGGTAAACATTACCCCATGGTCGTGAAGGATGACTTCACGAGACGTACATGGTTGTGTTTCCTGAAAAATAAATCAGACGCTGGGAGGGCTTTCCGAAGTTTCCTTGTTGGTGTGCGTGCTGATGGAATCCCATCTTTGGTTGAGATAGTTAGATCTGACAATGGGGGGGAGTGTTTCGGAGGGGATTTTACTTCCGTGTGCAACGAGCTCTTGATTAAGCAAGAGTTCACCCCGGCTTACAGTCCCCAGTACAACGGTGTTGCCGAGCGTGGTTTGGGATTGATCGAGGCTGCGGCAATGGCAGCTCGTATCCAGGCGAAAGTTTTGTTTGGGCATGTGCAATTATCTAAGACTGATAGACTATGGGCTGAGGCGATGCACTTGGCTTGCGAAGCAATTAACCACACAGCTTGTTCCCCTAACTCCGACAGTAAGTCACCATATGAAATGTGGCATGGTGAAGCTAGTCATGCTAGACCGTATCCGTTTTTGAAACCGGCTTACTGTAGGTGGCAGAGACCGTCTAAACTGCTACCGAGGGGTGAGGCTTGCTGTTATGTCGGTCCTTCGAGAGACCACCCGCGTGACTGTCATAGAGTACTTACGAGGGTTGGAACTATTCAGGAAACGAGGAATGTGACATGGGAGGCGTTGCCGTCACAACTCCCTCCGCTGCAACCGTCTCTCTTGCTGATAGAGGTAGCAGAGGAGGGAGGGGAGGAACGTGACGACGATGTAGAAGTCGAGGTATGGCCGCTTGTAGGGAGAGGAGTTCCCCACATTCTTTTGCGACGTGATGTAGCGGTATCTCGTGGAATAATTGATGAGGTTAGTAGTGTTGATGCAGGCAGTGTAGGCCAGCCCTCCTCTGTGCCATCTTCGCCCGCGAGCAACTTACCTAGTTGTGCGTCTCCCTATGCGTGTTCTCCAGCAGCCGAGTTCACGGATGAGGGAGGGCCGGAAACAGGGGAGGTAGAATCGGCGGGTCCGGGAGGGCAGGAGGTACAGTAGAGTCGGAGGATCAGGAAGGTTTGGATCAAGAGTTGGTTGAGCTTGCTAGTTACAACCCTGCTGTGAGTGAGAATGATGAAGTAAGAACAGGCAGAACCCGGGCGCAAACCCAGGCAGTAAATCAGCAAAGCGAATCCGGCCTCATGGCCACTCTAGGACCCATCTCCGCATCAGAAATAGGAGAGGAGCTCTTGGTGGAACAGAGAGCATCTGATGAAATGGAATTGCCAAAAGTGTTCATTCAGGACGTAGAGCCAGAATCTGGTAGCAATCAAGAAGCCCGCCGGTCGAAGTACGCCACGATTTGGGACAAGGCCACGTCTGTCTGCAGAATTTGAAGGATTGCTAAGGGCAGGAACGTTCGCGTTAGCAGTAAAGACTCTAATAGGCTGTAACGTGATAGATGCTAGATGGATCTACAAATGGAGAGCAGACAAAACAGGCAAGATAGTGAAGGCCAAGGCTAGGCTTGTAGCGAAGGGCTTCAAGGAGAAGTATGGTGTGGATTATCTTGAGACTTTCTCGCCTACTGCAAATGCATAGCATTGGCGTGCAAGTATGATTTGGAATTTCTCCACTTTGACATTGAGCAAGCGTTTGTTCAGTCGGAATTGGATCATGAGGTGTTCATGAAGTTGCCTCCTGGCTGCGAGTCGATGTCAGGAAAGGTCGTCCGTTTAGACAAGAGTTTGGAGGGACTGAGGCAGGTATGTAGAACATTTCTCAAGAGATTTGTGTCGGACCTTAAGAGGGTTAGTGTCGAACAATCTCTATCTGACCCCTGTGTTCTGCGTTTCATGATGAGAAACGAGGTGATGGGTATGATCGCGATTCATGTGGATGACTTTCTGTATGGAGGAATTGAGAGCCTTACCAAGATAGTTGTGCAAGCGCTAGGTGACTCTTTTCACACGAAGAATTTTGGCGAGGTCAAATTCTTTCATGGTTGCGCATTAGTCGCGACCGCGAGGCTGGCAAAAATTGAGATGTCTCAAGAGCGTTGCGTCAGGAGTGTTCTCGAGAGATTCAATATTTGTCGCACCAGCTCGACCCTGCTCCCCCTGCTAGTGTTTACAGGTCCGTGATGGAGGAGGAGGAGGAGGCAGGGGATGTGCCGTTCAGAGAGGTGGAAGTTCGTCTTCTGCCACTGAAATGGTCTTGAGTGATTTCTTCGGAGGAACGCATTTGGTGGATCTTGCTCCGCGTCATGCTGAGTACTAGCTCTTATTACTGTCCTCTACGATCTAGTCGGGAAGTTAGTTTCTGGGTCAACCTCGCTTCTTGGCTGAGTGATGCCTCTGACTATTTTTCTCTGCGATCTAGTCGGAAAACGTCAGTCTTGGGTCAAGTCTCGCTTTTCGCCGAGGTCCTGCCACGCATACTGCTGTTCTCTCCAGCGAAATTCTGCCCAACATCTCCTACAAACTTGCCATGAAATTCAACGTGCTTGCGTCAAGAATTCTGACGGTCCTTCAAATGCGTAATGATGTCCACGCTTTGCTGTTGTGTCGGTGACGTGGTAGTCCCACAAACAAAGTTACGCATCAATCTTTTTTCTTGTTACCGTACTGCTTTTGGTGGGATAAAAACCCCTCATACTCTTTTCGTTGCACGATTGGCAACTAAACTCTTGGAAGAATAACATCCCCTGATACGTGCTGTTGTTGGCTTGATAACCTCTCACACGTTCAGTTATCTCGTTCGTGACAACCGTACTCTCTCTTTCATCCCAGCATCACACATTTCGAAGAATTCCGAACACAGGAAACGNATCGGGGGCGTGCTTGAGCTCGTCATTCCATCACGGCATCAAGTCACGCATAACGCTCAAACACCCAAAACGAATCTCCATGAATGTCCACCAATCTACCACACTCCCAAGGAAAACATAAAGAAACTTCTTGTTCCTCCGTAGTTCGTCACTGCAATACCAGCATAGTCTATGTATACGCAATATGCCACCCGCATGCTATGCTACGAGTATATCGAATATCTCTTTCAACGCTAAATTTATAAGGGAGACCCTGCCTGATGCTTCGGCGAACGCGACACCTTCATTTGTCCAGAAAGACTCCCATCTCCCTGACGGGTTCTTTGGCGCGTTTTGATACTACAAATTTCATCGTACAATCCTTCTCTGGGGGAGTTATGGCGCTTCTACTTCATCGCTTCACATCTTTCGCCATCATCGAGAACAACATTCTACATCTTCAACTTCGTCTTTCAAGATCAACATCTTCAACATCTTCATCTTCAATGTTTGAGTGTTATCTGTTGTTTGTTGTGTGAATCAGTTTACTAGTTCAGTCGTTAACTTCTCGACTTCGCACCATCGCTGGTTGAATAGCCACCTAGGCTAGGTTGAATCTGTAAGTCATTGGTTTAGCGCAGGAAAGCAGTTACAGTACCCTGCAAGCACATTACATTTGCTATTTATCTCACTTAGTGGTTGATGCATCGCACGGCGTTGTTTCTTGTACAAGATTTGATCTTAGATTCAATGCAACTTTCATTGAGGGGGAGTGTTACGGAAGTATTGGATTATGTCCTGTACTAGAGTCAATGTTCAGTAGCATTGCTCTCTAACGTAGATCATGCATCGTAGATACTGCTGTATGTTTCGGTTCATACGTACCGCACCTGTATGGTGTTTGCGGCCTACGCCACTTATTTATCGGGTGAGACTGTTTTGGTGATGTATTAACTTCACGGGAGGTAGACGACCATCCTTCACACGGACGAAAGAGGGAGTGCTCAAAGAGNCTTACCAAAAAATCCAAGGCAAGTGCTAAAAACTGCTACATCTACTCCGGCAAATTCATCAGCTTGCGCCGGTGGTACTGCAGACTGACCCTGCTAAGGGCCTTGGTAAGGACGTCCGCGTGTTGCTCCGTTGTCGGAACAAATTTGACCGAAATATCCCCCGACCTAAACAATCCTCAGATGAAATGATATCTCATGTCGATGTGTTTCGTGCGACCTGAGCTGAGGGGGTTCTGCACCAACGC